TATACCAAAGATCACCTATAGAGGAGCAAAGAATGTTAAGAATATTTTAGTAAAGAGCTAATTGAGTTCAAAAAAATCTAATCACCTTGTACAAAACCTAATAGAATTCTATGGGTGTGGCATGTGTCTCCTATGCAAAACAACTAAAAGTAATAAAAGTCACTTGGTATATAAATGAGATATTTTTAGAAAATCACACGTCATAAAAGATCAACTAACATGCCAGGCAAAAGGAGCTATATACATCCTTAAATGCTTGTGCAATTTGTTATTACTAGGCAGCACTATCAAACCACTCAAGGTTAGAATCGCAGAACACATTAGAAATATAAAGAATGGAGTGGAAACATAGTGTTCCCCTACACTTCAAATTGACACATAACCAAAATCCAGAAGGCCTTTTCTTTTGTGCAATAAATGAAGTGAAAAAAGATTGGAGGGGAGGGGATTTTATTAAAGACACGGAGGCTCATATTATGCATAACTCTTTCTTTATTTCCTCAGCAGCAAAGATAGAGGAATATAAATATATCAAAAATGAAAGAAAAAAAAACTGTATAGATACACAGGCAACCAATCACATAACAGAGGAAGTGACTATATAAGGCCTGTGTCTCCCACAATCCCCCTCTTTCTTTGCTGCTTCCTCAGACAGCTAAGTATTTGCTCTTATCCTTAGTTTGTCTCTGATGTTATATTTTGTCTGTTTTACATTATTTTTACATTATATTTTTATTGTGACTTGCTTGGGTTGCCTTTACTGGGCAGCCTTCTGCTGGTGTGCTCGGGCTCTCCCCTTCACCTCCTGGGTTTTTCCCCCGGTCATTCTGTCCCCCTGCGCTCTCTCTCCCCCCCCCTTGCGGGTGCCGCGCGGGACCCGGCTGTGTTTTCATAGCCGCGGCAGTCTCCTGAGCCGCGGCTGTGTTTGTCTCTGCTTCCCCGATCGCGGGCTGCCCGCGCGGGTAGGGTGCGCGCGCCCCCTCCCCCGCCGGGGATCAGTCCGCGATCGTGATACCACACGTGCGGCGGCCATTTTGGGCGGTCCGTCGGCTGATCGGTCGCTCACTCTGCTGCTGCCGTGCGGTCTGTCGCCCCGGTCTGGGTCCCCTGAGCGCACCAGCGGGCAGGTTTTTCTTCACAGTGTTCCTGTGGGTTACTCAACCCTTCTACCATTTCGTTTTCCCTTAAAGCTGTATTCCAGTTTATTTATTTTCATCAGTTAGTGCAGATAGCTTGCTTTGTTATTTACTGTCACTTAAAGATATATTCCCCTATTATTGCCACCATGCAGGATAAGGAGGATGGGCCTGTGGACACCCCTGGTGACTTTAATATAGATAACCCTGAGGGTGCTATGGCCTCCCAGGAATTTCAGGCCCTGCTGGATGCCACTATGGCTTCGTCCTTACAAAAGCTTTTGCTTCTGCAATGGGTGCTGTTTCTTCCTCCTTCTCTCAGTCACTGCATTCTATGCTTATGCCCTCACTGCCTACCCCCACCCTCCAGGGTGCGGGGTCCCCTTCCTCTGCTCAGACTGTGCCTGGTACCCGTAAGGCAAAGGCAAAATCTAAGCACGTTGATTCCCACTCCTCGATGCAGGTGTTACCTGACATGACTGACACACTTGAGGTGGTCACAGACAGCGCGCATCCCACGCGCAAAAGAGCCCCTGGCCGGGCTAAAAAGGCTAGATTGTGGAAAAGGGCCAAGGCCCTAGATGATGAGTCGGATACCGACCGGAGTGTGGAACGTGACTCTGATGCTATGGAGTATGACTCCTATGATGAGGGAGGGTCAGACGAGGAACTACCCTCCGCGGAGGTTGCCCCCTCTGGGTCCTCTGCCGTGGCCCTAGGCCAAGTTAAGATTCCCTCTGGGGACAGTAAGGCCATTTTTGACCCCCAGGGAAACCCACTGTTCGACCCTGACGATCTGCGTCACCCACGGTCAGCAGAGTGGGTCCCCCCGGACCATATTGCACAATATGTGGCTAAACGCTTGCGTACACCCCTCTCCAAGGAGGGTCGCAACAAGTTGCCTGCCGAATGCCCTAGACCCTCTCTCCCGGGCTCGGCCTGTAAGACTCCGGATATCGACCCCCAAATAGCCCAATTCATGAATAAATCAGGCTGGAAACCCAAGAAGGGTTTGGATTACTCCCTCAAGGGATGCCAAGACAAGATATTGGATACCCTGGGCCCTCTGTCTAAACTTTACGAGCTGCTAGATGCCGCTAGGGCTGGAGACTCGATTATGGATATCGATGTGGCCATTGGGTGGGTCCAGAGGGCGATCTGCCTATTGGGGAACGCTAATACCGCCATGTCTTCGGAGAGGCGTAAGGCGATTCTCCTTAAGATCGATCCCAAATTGGCTGCCATGACGGTAGCGGAACCTGACCCCTCTAACGAGGGTTTACTGTTTGGAACCTCTTTTGTGAAGGACCTTGGTTCCTATGTTAAGACCTTTACGGCCATTGACAAGGCCCAAGCGAATATGAAGCGCGTGTTCGCTCCCAAGGTTTTCGGAGGGGCCGGGCGTAGCAGGAACCGTCCACCCGGCCGGGGCTTCCGTGGCTCGTTCAGGGCCTCCAGAGGTTCCTTCTTTCCTTCCCGAGGATTGCAAGATGCGAGGTCGCCTCCCTTCTTCCCAGCCAGAGGGAGATCCTGGGGCTCCAGGTATCCCCGTGGTGCCGCTTCGGGCAGACGCCCTTATGGTGAGTACCCATTTTTCCCCTCTCGATCATGTAAGGGTGGCAGGGAGGCTAGCCTTATTCTACCAGGGGTGGACAGATGTAACCTCAGATGCTTGGGTTTTGCAATGTGTAAAAGGTTATCACCTGGAGTTTGTTTCTATGCCTGTCCAGGTTCGCACCCCCAGAGAGTTGTCCCTCCCACAGGATCAGGACGACATGATTACCAAGGAAGTAGAGGAGATGCTCACGAAAGGTGCCATAGAGGAAATGCCGTTGGCCTCTCCAGGCTTCACGAGCAATCTTTTTCTGGTGCCAAAGAAAGGGGGCGGGGTTCGTCCTGTGATAAATCTTCGTCCCCTCAACGCATTTCTCCGCTACCAACATTTCCAGATGGAGGGTATACACTGCCTCAGAGACCTCCTTCGCCAATCGGATTGGTTGGCCAAGTTGGATCTGAAGGACGCATACTTTACAGTCCCCATAGCGTTGAGCTGCAGGGATTACCTCCACTTCACATGGCACGGTCGACGCTGGCGCTTCACTTGCCTGCCGTTCGGCCTCTCGTAGGCCCCTTGGTGTTTCACCAAACTCATGAAGCCGGTCATGGCTTACCTTCGTACCCGTGGGGTGCGACTGATCGTCTACCTGGACGACATACTGATCATGTCCCAATCCAGGGAATCTCTGCTGTTACATTTGGGTTGGACAATCAACCTTCTCCAAAATTTGGGTTTTCTGATCAACTGGGACAAGTCGTTCATGGTCCCTACCCAATCTATAGAATTCTTAGGTTTCCAGGTGGACTCCATCAGGCAATTCCTGTACTTGCCGGAGTCCAAAGTGAAGGCCATTCAGAAGGAGCTCCGAAGGGCTCTTCGGGTGCCGGATATGTCCGTCAGGCAACTAGCAAGGATTATCGGCCTTCTGGCGGCTTCGATTCAGGCGATCTTTCCGGGTCCGCTACACTATCGTGCCCTCCAACGACTCAAGGGTTCACACCTGCGTTCGGGTCGCTCTTACGAGTCCCGGATACGTCTGGACGACGAGTCCAGAGACGAGTTGGTATGGTGGTTGGCACACATGGAAGCCTGGAATGGCCGGGCCATCTTCGGTTCGGTCCCGGATGTCGTGATAGAATCCGATGCCAGCTTACACGGCTGGGGTGCTCGTTGTGGAAACGTTTCCACCGGAGGCAGATGGTCCGACATGGAGAGGTCCCTACACATCAATTGTCTAGAACTGCTGGCGGGGGCCTTCGCGATACGCAGTCTGACCCCAGGCCGGGCAGACTGTTGCGTTCTCCTCAAGATGGACAATGTGTCGGCAGTCCGGTACATAAATCATCTTGGGGGTACCAAGTCCAGAATGTTGGCACTATTGGCGAAGGATTTCTGGCAATTTTGTCTCCTCAACAACGTCTCGGTGCAGGCGGAACACATTCTGGGCCTGGACAATTCGGGTGCGGATTGGAATTCCAGGCACTTAAGAGACTCGGGAGATTGGCACTTGCACGTTTCGGTTTTCCGAGGTCTGGACAGTCTCTGGGGACGCTTCGAGTTGGACCTGTTCGCTTCACGTCTGAACACTCAACTCCCGGCGTTTTACAGCTGGAGGCCAGACCCGGCAGCAGTAGCGACGGACGCCTTTCTCCAAGACTGGCCCCCCGGACGCCTGTATGCCTTCCCACCGTTCAACATGATCGCTCGCACGATATCGAAGTTGGTCCGGCACGATTGCTGCCTGGTACTGATCACACCTCTTTGGAGGTCCCGTCCTTGGTTCCCACGCTTGATGGAGTTGTCGATAGACTACCCCAGACTGATTCCGAGCTTCCAGGATCTTCTCCTAGACCCGGATGGGAACTCGCACGAGCTGGTGCTTCGACATCAGCTACCTCTGATAGCGTGGCTCCTTTCAGGGGTACCTGGGTTGTCCCGAACGTTTCGCGGACGACTCTGCAACTCCTCGATAACGCTTGGGCTCCAGGTACGCGATCGGCATACCGCTCTTCATGGGGCTCATGGTCTAGTTGGTGCATGGAAGGGGCAGTGGATCCCGTATCTGCCCCTCTCCATCTAATTCTGGAATACCTCACTTTTCTGTTTGATTCGGGCAAGGCGTATCGAACTATCAACCTTTTTCGTTCCGCTATATCGGCTGGACATGTTGGTTTGGATGGTTCGCCCGTGGGCAGACACCCCTTCGTGTGTCACCTGCTCAAGGGCATTCGCCTCGCCCGTCCGCCCAAGGCTCGTTTCTCTGCCTTTTGGGACGTTAACATTATGCTTCAGTTTCTATCTTCCTGGTACCCGAACCAGGGACTGACCCTTAAGCAACTGTCTTCCAAGTTGGTTATGTTGCTTTGTTTGGTTTCCTGTAAACGGGTTTCTGATGTTAGGGCCCTCGAATGGGACGCCGTTACCTTCTCCCCTGAAGGTGTGACTTTTAATATTTCCAGACGGACTAAATCTGCATCAAGGTCTTTCGTATACCCTAGATTCCAAGGGTGTCCGGCACTCTGTCCAGTGGAGTGTTTAAAGGTCTATTTGGAGGTGACTCGACCTCTTCGCTCACTAGACCTACGACCTTTATTCATTTCTTTTCGTACTCCGCATCGACCTGTGGCGACACCGACCCTGGCACGTTGGGTGCGTTGGCTGTTGTCTATGGCTGGTATAGACACGTCTATCTTTACACCCCATTCGGTGAGGGGTGCTATGGCTTCCAAGGCTTCGACAGTCGGCTGTCGTCTGGAGGACATCATGCATGCAGCGGATTGGTCTCGAAAGTCGACCTTCCGTGACTTCTACTTCAGACCTATTGAACACATCGCATCTCAGGTGATAGCACAGCTTTGAACTTGCATAATATGAGCCTCCGTGTCTTTAATAAAATTCCCAGATTTTACTATTAACATGACGTAAAGTCATGATTTTATTAAAGACACGGAGGCGAGTATTATTCCCTCCCACCCTCCCGGTGTGTGGTATGGAGCGAGATGCGATTTGGCGTGTTCAGGTATGTTGGGTTCGACCTACCTTGGATGTACTTCATATGGTGTATTACATATACTAATTAATTATGTCTATTATATTTTTCAGGTTTCATTCCTTAACCTTATGACAGGTCACTAGTTTCGTATTGGTAAGTCTACAGTTTGGAGTTTGGTTATTACCATATTTCTCTCTCTTTTTTAGCTTGAAATTGTCGGTTTGTTCCAGTTCCCGGTTTTGACCAAGCAGGATATCGTTCTTCTTACCTGGTCTTCGGTTTTCGCAAGAAAGAGGGGGATTGTGGGAGACACAGGCCTTATATAGTCACTTCCTCTGTTATGTGATTGGTTGCCTGTGTATCTATACAGTTTTTTCTTTCATTTTTGATATATTTATATTCCTCTATCTTTGCTGCTGAGGAAATAAAGAAAGAGTTATGCATAATACTCGCCTCCGTGTCTTTAATAAAATCATGACTTTACGTCATGTTAATAGTAAAATCTGGGAATTGCGATAGACAAGTATACTTCTATGCTTCTGCTAACCTCTTTTTTAAGAATTTATTTTTTGAAAATGGAACTGTTTAACTGATATTCTGGCTTTATTTCTAACAGCTTCCTTGATGCATACTTCTCATAATTAATGCATAGTGGTTAATTATCCTTCAAATGCAAGGACCAGATTGTATATCAGGCGTTGAATATCAAGGCAAAAAAAAAGGAATTATTTGTCAAACATTAATCGATCTATCTTATACTTCTTTAGGCATCTATATGTAGGCTTACATAATTAAATGGCATCAAAATAAATTCAAGTTGCAAATGTAAAACATATTATGGCCATCAGCATTAAACTTTATCCAACTGATGCAGAGGATGTACCATCATAAAACAATTTTGTGACTACAAAAGGTATGATTTTTAAATATGATCACCTGAAATAAGGAAATAGAACCGAAGTTCAAATAATAGGCATAGATTTACATTTCCTGTATTACGTTTCTGCATTAAAACAATGTAAAGTTAGCTACTTTGTGAAACAATACAGGCTCATATTTCCTGGATAAGGCAGTATAAGAACAATGCTTTGAGAATCAATAAACCAGTTCAATAACATGCAAGATAAAACATAAATGCTGCAGTTAAAGTAAGAGTAATAAATTGGAGTCATTTTCTAGATCATTCGTAGATGTAATGAGTGCACAAGTGCAATATATTAGAACACTGCATTGATTACTACTTATTTATTACATTATAATGCTTGGGAACATAGTCCATGCATAAAATAAAAACTATTATGATAATGTGTTTGCTTAATTTAACCAAATTCATCTAATCAAGATCATGAAATGTGTTGTCTTGCACAGTGAGAAAAACAGAACAGCTGGTCATATCATCACCCACGAGAGAAGAAAACCTCAATGCGACTGAACTGAATATGAATGAGGAAAACAGGCAGTAAGATTAAAAGAAATGTAGACAACACGAAACAACGTACGTAAAGAGTATTAATAGTTAGTCTTTATTAAATAATGCATTGATATCTGGCAGGATACTAACAGATATGTAAACGGTAATATGACTTTTTTTCTTGTAGACCTCGGCAACAAAACAAAATCATCATCCAAGACAACTGCGATCTTCAAGGTTCCATACCAGATAGCAAAGACACTTAGTAATGGTTAAATAAAATATATTAAATGCAATATCTTACACATTTCTGGCTTTGTTTTCGTGCTAATTAAATTTTATTTTGTAATAAAAATGTTTTTTTTTCCTTTGGCCGCAAGCCTAACCTGCATTTCTTGCATAACTGTCAGATCTTTTGTCAGATGTCAATAAAAAAAAAAAAAAAAAAAGAAATATTGAAAAAGCCCTTGAAATTTCACAATGAAAATGCCAACCTTAGCAAATAAGCCTGGTCACTCATAAATAAAATGCCATATAAAATTGCAAACTTTTGTAAACAGGAGCTATTATAGGACACTATAAATTTACGAATCCAAACATGCATTCCTAAAGATATAATCATAATCTGTTTATTTTGGTGTCTACCCTTCATCCTCCACCGTGAATGTTTAAAAGGTGAGATTTACTTACCGTAATTCCCTCGACGCACTGATCTTGCCACTGTCACACTGCTTTCCTGACTGAGACCATGAATATTGATGATCTTAGCCAATCCATTGGCTCTAGGAGCAGCATTTGATTGAGAAATGTGTTTGAGCTGCATATGTTAAGGCTTTGCCTGGAGTTGTGGGAGGGGCTTTTTATTACCTATAAAGGCAGTCTCCCCCCTTTCCTACCCTACTGTTATTGGTCTGGCGATCTGCATGCATCTACTTCCGGTGCATGCAGATCGCCACCTTACAAACCTACCTGTCCATGTGGAACCGATCTCCTGCTGTTCATCCCGTGGCTCGGGATCTCTTCACTGCATATTCCGTTGCGGCTGATTTCACTGCTGCTTCGGTCTTCTGTGCGGTAAACTGACCTGGAAGCACACGGTCACTGACCTTCAAACTACTCCAATCCCCTTCTCCTTGGTTTTACACGTTACCAGCTTACACTGTTACAATCTATAATGAATCCGGCAACGAGGCTCATCTTCCTGTACATCTGCATCTCCCCCCTCAGTCAGTCCCTACATTGGCTTCCTAGAAGATGTATGGTTCAATTTAAGATTCTGGTGCTTGCTTACAAGACTACATAATGTTGTTCCAAACTACATATCTTCCCTAATACACAAGTATGTCCCATCTAAGGTCCTGTGCTCTGCCGAAGACCTACATCTATCATCTGTCTGTACTCCCACCTATGATGCTCACCTTCAAGACTTCTCCAGGGATACACCTTTTTCTGTAGAACTCCATTCCCTTCTCTGTTAGACTTTAATCCAGTCTCCATTACTTCAAAAATCATTAACAACTCACTTCTTCAGGAAAGCGTGTCAATTAAACTGTTAACAGCTTTCCTTCCCCGCACCTTCCTCTCCTACAACTGTCAAAAATAACCTACTAAGCCCTCAGTGAATACTTTTCTAGCAACCTACTTTTCTACCCATGCTTTTACCCTTTGCGTCATTATGCCCCACTCGCTATAGCATGGCATTCAACCCAAAGATAAAGAGACAAACTCATAAATACGTATAGAGCTTTGTGTTATCTTTCTCTGTATCTTTGGTGGTTAACAGGGACTGGATGGAAATGGCTTATCAGTGAGTAGTGAGGCTGGCTGACAGGGACTGGCGGGAGAAGGGTTGACAGTGGGTAGGGAGGTTGGCTGACAGGGGATGGAGTAGAATGTATTACTTGCATTACAAGTAATCCATTCTACTCCAGTAAATTGAACTTTAACCACACACAGGAGATAAGAAATTCTTAAGTAAACGGAATTTGCAATAAACGAAGTGTAAAAATTCAATTTCACATTACAGGAAGTGTTCAGGAAGGATGTGCGCATTACTTGTAGGAAAGGTGTGATTACGGTTGCATAAACAAAGTGATTTAACTCCTCAATGGCAGTGAATTCAGCAGTGAGACAACACGGGCATGATCTATCTACACAGAAACTGCGTCATTAAGCTGAAGTTGTTTTGGTTCTAGTGTCCTTTTAACTAATAGTCTTAAGGTGACTGTTGTACTTTAACTATGTACTTTAAAACAAAAAGGTATGAATCTTGATACAGCAGTTAAATGAGGCTTATTAACTAAACAGATTTCTCGAGAAGAAAAGGGCAATGGAATTACAAATGTTATACCTAATTACTAAAATTGGAAAAGTCTCCAAGACGGCCATTATAGCCTATATTTTGCACTTTTGTTAGTTAGATGCAATTTCTGCTTCAGTGAATAAACACGTTTTAGGACACGTACAAAACAAATATTTACGTTCAAGTAACAGCCAATTGTGCATTACTGCAGAAAATGCTGTCAGTTTAAAGAAATAACCATTCTGCTGGCTTGTGCAATCAGTTTACATGAGAGAATTGATATGCAGTATTTTGTACTGCAGAAGCTCAGAACAAGAATGCCCACAATAATCAAACAGATATTGTCCAGCTGTAGGCTAGACTTACGTTAAGGGACTCCTGATCCAAATGAGAGAAAACTTGTCATGGCATATCTCTGCTTTATGATATATTCTGTATCTGGACCAAGGTTATAGGAATGGGGGAAAAAGGGGTATAAACCCTGCAAGAAAAATCTAGTTGAGGGATGAAAGGATTCACCCCCCCCCCCCAGTCATGATGATGTCGCATTTAAAATATTAATACTGGTTATCTTTCAAACTACATTTCAACAAGATGCAATACCATCCATGGAGAAACATTTACAGAAGGATTGTTTTGTAAGAAATGTCATATTAAAGGTGAGGTAAGTTTAAAAAGAACTAGATCATTCTACTAAAAGCTTATAACCACAGTTATAGTTTTGTCTATTAAAAAAAAATAAAAAAAAAAAATGCATGATTTACTATGTATCATAAATTACTATTCCCTCCCTATCTTCTTTGGTTCTGTAATTTCCCCAGCGCCTCCATACAGCATGGCTGCAACCGATCAATGCGGTCACACTGTTAAAAATAATAATGAAAGCTGGCCGCTGCAGTCCCAAACAACTATGTAGCCCCGTTATCCTTATTCATTGTGTATTACCTAGTTCTGCGTGTTGGGTCATATAGTAATCGTGACAGGTTGCTACGCTGATATTTACTAATTCATTTCAAATTGCATTTTCTGCTGGTCCTTTAACATGCCTTTACCAAAGGCAGCTGAATTTCACCTCTACACACAGTCTTGTTCCAAATGCAAAGGTCAGTCTTACTCACATAAGTAAGTTAATTCCTTCAAGTACATCTCTATATATGCAATAATCCATTAAGATGTTGAAGTATTATATTTTTACATTCTAAAAGTAAACCAGCAATAATTAAATAAAAAACAACCGGTTAGCTGAAACCAGTAACAGAGGCACAAATAGAATTTGTTGTAATATGCAATGTACTAGTACAGGCATACTCAACCTTCGGCACTCCAGCTGTTTTGGACTACACGTCCCATGATGCTTTGCCAGCATTATGGGGGATGTAGTCCAGAACATCTGGAGTGCCGAAGGTTGCATGCCCCTGTACTAATACATGCAATGGGATTTTTAATGTCAAAAAATATGTATAAAAATTTGTATAATGTAATGAAGTGTGGGCATTACCACTTACCAAATAAGAGCATACAAATTGTTCTTACAATTTCTAACATTACTTCTTAAAACAAGACAGACAATCTATTGAGTTTTAAAATGTTATATTTTATTTTCAAAAGACAATTGAAGAATTTGCCTTAGCAGGCCATCATCATATACCTGAAGTGTTTTGGTACAAAAAATATTCTTCTCTCTAATGAATTCTTTAAACAAGTGAACACCCCCTCCAACACCAAAGTAATGTGACTTGGAAGCCAAATACACAATACCATTTTTTCCTAATAGATGCTGAAGTACATCATGCAGCACACTGTAGTAAGACGGATTATAGATGGTCTCTGATGTTAAAATAACATCATATTTCTTAGGAGGAATTTCATTTTTCATTAACTGCACAAACCGTGACCAGTCCCCTGAAAAAAACCGGCACTTGGACAGAAGCCCAGCCTTCGATTCAGTGTTTTTTTGCCTTTTTGGACTGCATTCATTTAACTTTTTATTGTCACAGTTCACTAGTACATTGGGGATGGTTATTTCCCCTATTACAGTACTGTTGTAGTCTTGGAAATGAACTTCTTTAGCTTTTTGCTTAAGGGCCAGAATTCCCAGCAAACCAGCTCCACAACCAAGATCCAAAACCTCCCTGCCTTCAAATTCTATGCTATTGTCTTCCAAGTATCTTATAAGATCAAACGTGCATTCCCAAATTTTCATCCCACCTTCATAAATGCCAGAAATGAGATCAGTGTTAGATGTAATTGCTTTGCTTACAATGCTTTCACAAAAATAATCTCTATCTGATAATGTCATTTCAACAACTGACACATTTACAAAATTCAGCCCCGAAATGCTTTCGACTATTTTATTTTCAAGCACTCTGCTGACATCTTCTGGAAGTTTGTGCTCTGTGGCAAGGGTACTGCAGCTTCCTGTTTTTTCTTCCGATTGACAGTTAAAGCTGGTTATGTCACTGCTAATTAGATTGTTTTTACCACTTGAGGTCACTGGCTTTGTTTCCTTTACTTCATTTGTTATCTCTGTCTGTACTTCACAGTCTCCTAACAGCAATTTATTGTCCTTTGACTTTTCTTCTTTGTCAATAAGGTCTGAAGAGCAATTGTATAACACTGGGCTTAATCCGCACTCCGAGGGACTGCTTTCTGTGTCCTCTATAGAAAAATTGAACTGAAAAGACATCCTTGATGTGAAAAACAAACTCATACGTAATAAGACAAATACTTCTTACAGTTTGAATTACTGAGGAGCTTCTTGGGTATCAAATGATGAAGTTCTAAAAATAAAGCAAAAACAGTAAAATATATATATTTCTTTTTCAATCCAAAACGCAAACACTTTACACAAACCAAAACCAAGCAGGAAATGTACATTATTAACATTTATAAATAAACTTGCTCAGATTGCATTATTGAACCCACCCTCTCTTGCTTTTTTACCCACCTACTTCAGTTTCAGACCTGTCCACTAATAAAAGAAAGTGCAACAGAGAAATCCAACAATTGTTCTGCCAGAATTACACTGATCATACTCCTCCCCCTGTTAGGCTATTTCAAAGTGAAGAGATCTAACTGTGTAAATCTGTCAGGATGCCTATTGCATTTTTCCAGCATTCCTAGGGATGGGACAATAATTGGGTAGATTGGTGGCCACCCGAGTGGGTGGTGGGTGTGGAAAGTAAAGATCGAAGAAGCAGGTAAATTTGCGAGGGGGGTGAGCGACAGAGCACGCGAGGGGCAGACGGGCGACACACTGAAATACCATTTTGTTTTCTCCATTATCAACTTCATGGTGGTCCAGTGATCTTTCCCTTGTGGTACGCTGGGCTAGCTGTTCAGTCTGCAGATTTGCATCTTACATGATAGAAGGTCTCACAAGCTTGAGTTGTCAGACCATTGCTGTGATAACCCACAGCAACGCTCTGATGGCTGAGATCGTGAGACACCTCTGTCTGCATCCGGCAGAGCTGCAGACAGGAGGCTCTGGCCTCTCACCCAGCAGCACGCAAGGCAAGCCCCCAGACCCTGAGGCAATTTATGCAGCCACGAGGCCCAAGGTGACCGCCTAAATCACCTAATTAGAGATACACCTCTATTCAGCAGACTTCCTTAGTCAGTCAATCAGACTTAACTCTTCTGGAATCAGAGCATGCAGCCACAGTGATCATCAACAACCAGGTAAGCTGCCAAACTGTTCTAAAATGGTTTGACACACCACTCTGGGAGGGTGCAGGGGCAATCCTGGCACCATAACCACTGAAACCAGCAGAAGTAGTTATTGTGCTTGGTAAAACTAACCAGACTGTATAGTAACAGCTACAAGTGACAGGTCACACAGTTTGCATTAGAATTAATAAGCAAGCAACAACTACCTAGTATATTCCACGTGTAAAATATACTGCTTGTCTTAATTTCATGGCTGCTGCACATCATGTCACAGTTTATGAAGGGGTTAAGTCAGTTACTCTGTGTACTGTTAGATTAATGGTGAAATCACAGGACACGTGGTGCACACGTACTTTCAACCCAGACTCTCATTACAAAAAAACAAACTAAAAGCTCAGCCTGCCGGTTTATCACGTGACAAGCGCTCATCCCCTTACCAAGTCACGCATGTTTGGTGCCAAATGCAGTACACCGCCGCTTTACTTCCTGCTTGGCCCGCTCTGCTGAAAGTTATTGTATATGAGCGTTTAGCTCTCACTCCGGCTGTTTGCTATTACGTAGATTCCGCTGCACAGAGCACGCCGCCAGCGTCCAGGGTCTTAGTGCCTGCCACGAAAAACTATCCTCAGCTAGTGACTCGCGCGAGCAGCACTGCGCATGCGTAGTGACATGACGCCAGCCAGGGCTATCTGTGTACCAGCCTTGCGCACAGACACGTTGGATCGTCGAATCTGACAGAACACCGGAAGTTATCAGAGAGTTGCCGCGGGTTTCCACGGCAACGCTCTGATGCTTTCAAGACAGCCCAAATGAAAGATCTTCGTGTACCGCTGGTGGTGCACAGCTTCCAACATGGCCACCAGGGATCAATATCCCCCCTCCCTAGCCCTAGGTAAGCCAAAGGGCGGGGGCTTAACTAAGTTATGATTAGTGCACTTAAAGCCTCTATAT